CTAAACAGCACACAGATAGCTAGCAAATAACACATGGTAATGTTAGTGACAGCATATCATTTATATTCATATAATACAAACACAACACATGATATAGTCTCACACATCGCATGTAGCACTTTATTTCAGCATATAACATATACTTGTACAACACAGTGTAATTATAAACAAACAACACATGTCATTATTACAAACAGTACGTGTTGTTTTTAATACATACTTTTATTGTTTTTGTATTTTATGATTGTTGATTTAGAAAATCAGTACGATACTGATTTTTCCAAATCAGCATCATAACATTCCCCTGTACGAGACGTGTACATTTTATAACAAATTTTAATTAGAAAAAAAGTCCATACTTAGTAAACATAAATAAAATAAAAATAAAATAAAATCTAACAAGATTTATCTGTGAAGCAATCATTGATCGAAAGAATAGATGGATGATTCGCACGTTTTTGTTTGAAAAACTTGAGGATAAAAATAAGTTGTTATGATTTAGTTTTAATTGTTAAATAAAATATAAAATTGTATATCAGAATCTAGAGAAATAAAAAAAAAAATTATAGATACAAACTTGGAATTGGGGACAATTTGATAAATAAAAATTAGAACTTGGATATTGAAAGTGACAGAAAAGAATAGAAGAAAATAAATGAATCGAATTATAAGTGAAAATCGTAAAAGATGAAAAAAAAAATCAAATCAAAATATTGTTTTAAAATGAAATTGAGACTTGAGAGAAAGAATTGTCCGTTATTGAAGAAATCACAGTATCAAAACTTAAAAAAAATTGTTGGGTTGGAAAGATAAATGGTTGCAGTAAAAGATTAAAAGAAAATTAAGTGAAAAAAAAAACCATAAACTTACTTATGAGTGTGCGCCCACTTTCACTTATAATACAATTTTATATATGTATATATAATACATATTAAATTTAAGAAATGGGTATCCTTTTATTTTTGGCCATGAAGAAGGGCCCCTTTTCGCCTGGTCAAGGATTGGGTTTGCCTAACAAAAATTATTAAATCATAATTGAATTATAATTTAAAATTTTTAATAGTTATTTGATTTTTTGATAAATTAAAATCGCCAACTGTTTTGAGAAGTCTACGTAGTCCTCTCTTTCTTGTACCCTTTTTACATCCCTTGTGTGGCAAAATGCACAAAAAATTGAGGAACATGAGATCTCACCGGGTATTCTATAATTTGGTGGTCCGAAAAAAATCATCCGGCTGCTTAATGGAAAGCTTGCCAAAATTGATTTGTTTCAAAGAATTTTCGGTCTCCTAAAAAAAGATTTGTACTATCTCGCGATATTCGAATATTTTACGAATCAAGAAAATAAAAATAGCTTTGATATAATAAAGAAAAAAGAGGTTGAAAATTTGAATAAAGAAGTTGAAAAATTAAAATCAAATAAAGCTGGAAGCAGTAAAAAAAAAAAAAAGTGATGTTCTAGAAAGAAAAAATACAGAGAAAAATAAATTGCTGAGGAAAATTATAGAAGAAGGTGATGATCGTGTAGAATCTAATCTGCCTCTTGAATCTTGTTATATTTTTGAATTTTTTTGATAAAATTTTATCCATATTTTTTTTTCAACATTTTTTAACAATTTCTTGATCTTCCTGCCTTAGTTGGGTTGCTTCCAAGTCGAATTGGACCTCCCTGAACAATGAACCAAACGGATCAGCAAGTCATCTGTACTTTGGGTTGTATACCGGGCCGTGAATGTCCTTGAGCTGCGTTTACATTGGACCAGCCTCTCCACCAGCTTTAATCTTTTTTCAACATATTTTCTCCCACTAATTAACCTTCTGGAAGCTGCAGGTGCTAGGCCGACTTTGGGCTGTTGTCCATCACCAAATTTGGGCTGATTTTGAATTGTGGATTACAACTTTTATTATTTTTATTTACAATCAAAATTTTTATACTCAAAATATTTTCAGCATACACCAAACCAAAAACCAAGCACACATGTGTGCACATATATTACTTTATAATAATAAGATAAATTGTATAATACATTTTTTTTTAATTTTATAAATAAAGATAAATATATTAGTTTAGATTTATTTTATTTTTATCTAACATTATTTATTTTATTTGAGTTTTAACTTAAAAAGATACATAAATTGTTTTATAGTCCCTCCGTCTCTTAACAATCTATCCATTTTTCCATTTTACTCCGTCTCATAACAAAGTATTCATTTCATTTTTTTTTAGTAATTGTACTGTATACCTAACATTATAAATATCCTTCCAATTTCCAATATATTACACAAATGTCATTACATTTATATCATACAATACTAATAGAGTTAATTTAGTCTTTTTACCTTTATTTCTACTTTATCCCAATATAATACTAATATTTATAAAACTCCATCCAAAAAAAAATTGATATATAGATATGGGACAGAGAGAGTATTTATATTCTTGATTTAAAATTGATTTTTTTAAATTTTAAATTTTAATTTAAACAATATTTTAATATGATATTTTATATATAAAAAAATAATACTATCTTCGTCAGACTTTAAGGATCTCATTTACTTATTGCGTATTGATCTTTGAATATTACTTATTATATTAAAACGTAAGTATAAATTAAGAAAAAATTGTAAAAATACTTCTATTGGTATTTAATACTAATAAAATGACATTTTGTAAAAAAAAATTATACAAATATAAGAATATTTTTAATGTTAAGTACAATGACGTAATATGACCTTTAGAGGCGGACGAAGAGAGTATATTTTTATTAAAAATCTTATTATCACTATGGGTGTGTTAACTTGGAAGGTTTGGTTTTGAATTTGATTATGAATAAGTAAAATTTTGAATTGAAATAGTTGTTGGATTTGATATAAATATGTGTTGATGTGATATTTTAAATAAAAAATTAGATTTTAGTGTAATAAAATAAATAAGAATTGAATGTTTGATTTGATAGAGAAAAGAAAATTGAAAATAATTGGAAAGACAAGTAAAACACATTAGGCGAACCATGTGTGACAGATGATTTGAGACACGTATAATCCCCTGTTACACCGGTCTATCCCTTACCAAACTTTGGTTCATTTGCGATGGTTCTATTTTTAGCTTCCGTTAAAAGCGATGATGCGGTCGAGAGCAATAACTTAACAAGAGTTTCAAGCGCCGAGATGTTTGCATTGTATTTGTGTTCATCTATCTTTTCTTCTGTTTTTTTTTTTAGATATAACGATGATTTTCATTGCAGGCTTACCTCTCAGACGAAGAGTTCAATTCAGTATTCAGCATGGTAAAAGACGCCTTCTAGAAGCAGTGCAGTACAGGAAGAAAAAGAAATTTGATTTCTTCTAGAAACCCTACTGGCCTGGGTCACGCCATTTAATTTGTTTGTTGGTACGCCGGTCAAGCGTTGATTTTTACAATACAGCTCGTCTTGTGGCTGGTTGCTTCATTCCTTTTTGGAAATGAGCTTGTATTAAAATTCAGGTGTACTATCGGGTGTTTTCACTTTATATTATGGCGTCTTTGTTAATTAGCTGATAGCAGATACCTATTAGTTGATTCAACAATTAATTGATTTGACTAGTTGTTTATATTAAAATATTTGGTAAAACAATTATTCGATATTAGTTGTTTATACGTTGATGACATTTATATTTTATTTTTTTTAATATATTCAATTGTGTTCTTATGTTTAAAATTTTTTATTATTAATTATTGAAAATTGTAAAAGTGTTATAAATCCATCCAACTAGAAAGCATACATATTTCTATTTTTGGACATCTAATTACAAAGTAAACATTTCATTAAATACCTCATTTTTTTCACAAATATCTTTACTTTACATCACATCATTACTTTTACACTAAAAAACAAGGGCAAAAATGTCATTTTACCACTTTCAATTACCCACTATAATTAAAATACTATTATTTCTTAAACACCTCTTCTTAAACACCGCGCCAAAAATAAATGTTTACTTTGTGTGTGGACGGAGAGAGTATTTATTTTTATTATAATTAGATTTAAAAAATAATATATTTTTATCGACAAATATAAATAATTTTTTTTTATTGAAAATAATGTAAAATATAAAATAATAAATTTTCAGTGAATATATTTATTATGTTAATTATTGATTAGTTAATTATATTTATAATTTTCAATAAATTTAATTTATTTAATTTATTTTTAGTATAAAATTTATATAATGTAATTTTAATATAAAAATAAATTTTATTTTTATATTTTCTATTTTATGTTGAATTTAATAAATTTATATATTTTATAATTAAAATAATATATATATATAAATTAATTATTTTAAATTTATAAAAATAAAACTATAATATAATAAAATATTATAATATAATTAATAAATAATCAAAATATATTTATTTATGTAAAATACATAATAAATTTTCAAGGACGGACGCATACTTTACTTTCGACTCGTTTGCCAAACACTAAAAAGCTAAAAGTTCTTTAAAAAATTATTTGCCAAACACTCTTTAAAATGTTATTTTCGACCCATTTGTTTACTTTTGTATTGTTGTTAGTCTTTTAACACCAAAATTGATTTAAATGATCTATAAGAAAAATAAAATAAATCATTTCTTTTTTATTTATTTTAAAACTCGAATGTATTTTTTTCGAAAATTTGCATTTGTGGTTTTATATATAATAATAATAATAATAATAATAATATTAATATGTTTGTAAATTAAATAAAAATTTAAAAAATATACTCACTTTTATTGAAATAGAAAAAAAAAAAAAATCCTTTTGAATAATACAACAAAAATAGTAAAAAAAATACTTTAAATTGGGAAAAAAATTATATATAATTTTAACAGATTCTTTCCCATATTTATTTAATAATAATAATAATATTCTAGGTATTTTTAAGAAAAGCCAAGATTGATAATTTACCCCTAATAATATCATACTATGTACTAATAATACTCATCACCCCCCGCTTACCCTCCAGACAAACAAACAGGAACAAACTATAGCGTACTTACCCTCAGCAATCAAGATACAATAAAAACAGATCAGATCAGATCCGATCCAATAGAATAGAATAAATCAGAAGCTCACAAGCTACCAATAGCTGGACAGAAAGTTGTGTTACCAACACCAAGTGAGCAAACATAGGCTCCATGCTCAAATCCTGATGTTGAAGTAATCACTGTCAAAATGATGCAGCCTCACATATCCATCTTCACCTCCACTTGAGAAACTACAGACAATAAACGCATTTACAAAGACACATAAGTCGTTATGCCTTATAAAATGGACAAACTACATGCTCGTTTTTTATTTGTAAATGAATCGATCCTTTTGCAAACAGCCGCAAGGGCAAACTAGGATTTTTGTTGCAACTACAAGAGCACAATTTGTCACACAGCCCCATCATTGAGACAGATTAACTTGTGAGATATATTATTAGTGTGCACACCAGGACCCTTGCCTTGATCAATGAAAGAATTCAGGACACAAGTATGGCAGAAAAGAAAAGAAAGAAAGGACAATGGAAGCTAAAGCAAATGGCAATATCATTTGCATTACGATAGCTAAATAGATGTAAATTCAATCTCACCTTTTTCCATCAGGATTAAATGCCAAGGCATTTATTGGTCCAAAGTGTCCTTTCACACCTCCAATTTCCTCTGCAAGGATCTATACACAAGAAAGAGAAAAACAATCAACAAACCTAACATCAAAGAGAATGTTTTGTGTGGTTCATTGTGCTTTTGCATCATTTTTTCTCTATTTATCATTTTGTGGCCTAACAAAAGCTCTTTTTATATAACTTGTGCAGTGTGCACATCAGTTTAATTTTTGCCTTATCATAGAATTTAGCCTCAAACTTTCCAGCACGATGATCAGTTGTAGTAACAGCCGATGCATCCTGACCACCTCCAAGTACCACCTACAAATACAATAAATCTATCAAAAGTCAGTAATAAAGAGGTAACAGACTCCATCAAGGGACTTGAATTATGCACATAGAAACATCACTATATACCACATATTTATACATTTTAGTACATCAATCTACAAACTCGGTAGATTCAGCCCCTTTTATCCCCAAACCTTATTATCAAAAACCAATCAATGTGCATTTCTACATTACTATAACAAATACAAAATCTAATATCCTAGTTTGAAAGGTTGCATTCAACCAAGTAGTATGAAGCTGTCTTCGTTCAAATAAGAAGGATAACTCAAAAGCTACACAAAAGTTAAAATTATATGATCAAAAGTTAAAATTATTATAAAAAAAAAAAAAAAAAAAAACAATCAATGCATATTTCTGCATTACTATAACAAATACAAAATTTAATATCCTAGTTTGAAAGGTTACATTCAACCAAGTGGTATGAAGCTGTCTTCATTCAAATAGGAAGGACAACTCAAAAACTACACAAAAGTTAAAATTATATGGTCAAAAGTAAACATTATTATAAAAAAAAAACAATCAATGCACATTCCTACATTACTATAACAAATACAAAATCTAATATCCTAGTTTGACGGATAACTCAAAAATTACACAAAAGTTAAAATTATATGATCACTGACAAAAACAGCAAGAAAATCAGCCAACTTAATTGAATCTGTTTGGCACTTACGTGGTCAAGAAGTGGAGACATTGCAACTGCGTTTACAGGTCGTTCTGTCACATAAGTCTTGATAAGTTTTAGCGTTCTTATGTCCCAGAGCTGAATAGATCAAGCCAGGTCATTAGGAAAGTTATTATTCATAGCTACAACCACAGAGAAACAGCCAGATATTAGAAGGAATAGAAAAGCTACCTTTGCAGATTTGTCCAAAGAACCAGTAAGAAAATGAGAAGCATCTGAAGATTTTGCAAGTGATGTGATTGGCTTTTTATGGCCATCCTCCTTGTCAGATTCTCTCAGCAATTTCCCAGTCTATAATTCAAAAGAAGGATCAAATTTCAAGCATAGGTAAAATAGGTGATCATCAACACATGAAAGGCCATGTCAATTGCTATTGATATTTGTCAAAATCCTTCATTACAGCCCAAAAGAAAAATCTATTTATACAATTAGCATCACTTTAAGGGTACTAGCCTCAGAATCCCATATTCGAATTACTGAATCTTCACCAGCACTTATGACAGTCCTGTTCAGAGGCCCCCACACCGCTCTGTTAATCCTTCCTTGTGGCCCCTTGATAATTAGGACAGAGTCACCAGTCTCTGCAATTACCATAAAAAATAACTTAGCACTGGAAGTAAATTTGTGATCACAGGCAAAATCTAAAGCACAGCAATTTAGATGCACCAAACCAAAATGAGAAATATCAAAGCTTGCTTGCGACAATGACATCAGCCCATATATATGCATCAAAAGCATCTAGATGCCATAACTGGGGTCCCATGTACTCCATTCAATAGCCATAAGATCTTGTAAATCAAGATGCAGAACTGAGTTGAGCTCAACAGTAGAAACAACAAACTCAAATTATGATCACTTCAAATACGTTAAGAAAACCATTTGCTCTAGCCACAAAGCAAACATATTTCTGCAATTTAACCTTCAATGGAAAATTAATTCAAAAGGCACCAAGATCTGTCTCAATTGTAAATTTGCATCCAAACGCAATTTACTGAATCTATCTCATCATACAACACAATAATACTCAGACAAATAAAAGCAACTAGCTTCCATGCATATGGCTCACAAGAAAAGCAATCCATGCAAAAATATTGCATACGCAAAATCACTTACGGTCATCCACATCTCTGGCAATACGTTTGATGTGAATAGCAGATGACAAACCCATGAAAGGATCAGTGGTTATAACCACAAGCTTATCACCAACAGCAAAATCGACAGACCTTGCTGGCGAATCGAAATTAAATGTATACAATGGAGTTCCTGATTCGACATCCCATATCTTTGCAGTCTGGTCTGCGCTTCCTGTTATAAGCCTAGTGGAATCCCCTACAACAAACAAAAGACTATATATATGAATCGTCTTCTAAATCCAAAAGGCAGTTGCAAAGACGGCAACATGAGCTTATTCTACTATCCTTCGAATGGCATGCCACATATGAACACCTCCCAATTGAATTAAATTCCAACAAAAAGGTTAGCTAAACAGAGAGAAAAGGAAGCAATACTTGAGATATCGCAGGACCAAACAGCGCCATTATGGCCTCGGTATGTGCCAAGACGCTCTCCGTTGTCCGCGAACCAGACGGTTGGATTATGGTCTTTGGCGCAGGAGAAGAGCAGATCGCCATCTCGATTGTACTTGAGAAACGTAAGCGGCCTCTCGTGCCCTTTCATCAATATCGGCCTCATCTTTTCTAACCTCAGCAATGCAAAAATCACCGAGCTGCGACGAAAAATCTCCGGCGGCGGCGGCGGGGGCAGCAGGCAAAAACCCTTCTGACGAAACACGGATTAATATTTATACATTGGCCCAATAACTTTGGTTGCACCTAAACCGGACGGACACAAAATGTTCAATCGGGCCGGATGGGCCGGTCAGGGTCTAACTGACATTGAAGGTGGGATTGAATCCAAAACTATTGCGGGTTTTAAAAGTTTTAAGAGGATTGGCAAACAATTTTGGTAAAATTTCCAGTAAGGTTTTGAGACTCTAGCGTGTACTTTGAAAATTTCATACTCTATAACAATCGTTATAAAACTTTCTTTTACACCACAAAAAAATGTAAATTATGGGCAATTTTACCAACAATTTTTGCAAAAGTTTTTATTTAGTTTATTTGAATAATTTTTAACTGTTTTAGGTAATTTAAAGGGTATATTCATTCTTCATTTCGTAAGATTCTATTGGACTTTTAAATTTAAGTGTATTCGTACTTTTAAAAATTTTTTGAAATTTGGAAGTATTCAATCAAATTTTTAAGAGTCTATATATTCAATTCATACTTTTAAAAATCTTTTTAAATAGTGTTCAACAATCGTAAACTTTAAAAGCATGTAGATTTTACTAAATTTTAATGAAAAAATAATGAAAAGAAATTATATAGTATAAAATATTTACTGATCAGTAGAAATTTTTGATAAATTATTATTATTATTATTATTATTGTTATTATTATTAGCATTATTTTTATTATTAGAAGTGATAAATATTATGATAGTATTTATTAATATTATTGTAATGTTTTAATAAAATAATAATAATTCCAAAAATAAAATATACTTGAAAAATGATAATAATTTAAAAAAAAATAAAGTATAATAGCAAATTATATCAATTTTTTTGAATATATATATTTTTAATTGAAAATTTAATTGATTGAATGCAAAAATGTAATAAAACTATCATTAGAGAGAAAACTTATTTAGAAGATACCACATACATATCTGGAGAAGAAATTGTGGCAACATTCTTGATCATTGTAGGACACAACGATCGATATAATAATGTTCAACAAAGATTTAGTCGTTCAAATTTTGGTTCTAGTAGAAACTTCAACAAAAACTTTAAAGATGTTGAACACTATAGCACTGGAAATGATGGTTAAGCCATCTATAGGTCTTGCTAAAATTACAAGATTTAACCATTTTTTTTTAAAAGTATGAATCTTTTTAATAATATTATCTATAACCTAAATTTAATATTGTAATTTTTTTTTTATAAGTGTTCGCTATTTTAAAAGATTGCATCGAAGCTATCGATAGAATTCATATTCCGGCAATAGTAATGGGTCGTGAAGTAAGCAGTTATCGCAATCATCATGGTGTTTAATCACAAAATATTTTAGCCGCTTGCAACTTTGATTAGCAGTTTATATATGTGACCGAGAAGGTCAGCACATGACTCAGAACTTTTAAATGATGTATTATCAAGAAGAAATGGACTTCAAGTGTCTCAAGATAATATATTCTTTTATTATATTTATATTTCTTTTAAATAGTGACAAGCTAACTATTTTTTTAATATTGATTTTTAGGTAAATATTTTCTTGTGAATTGTGGATTTGCTAATCGGCGTTAATTTTTAGCTCAATTACGTGGTGTTCGATATCATTTAAAAGATTTTGTTGGTCAAGATAGTCATCCCAGAAATGCAAGTGAGCTATTCAATCTTCGTCCTGCATCATTAAGAAATATGATTGAGAGAAATTTTGATATTTTAAAATCGCCATTTGTAATTTTTAAAATGGCCCTCCATTCTCATTTCAAACACAAGCAGAGTTAGTGTTGGTTTGTGCTAGATTACATAATTTTCTTCGGAAAGAATACCGATCTGATGAATTTCCAGTCGGATATGAAGATCAATATTCTCTGCATCTTGACGTGGAAGATGAAAATTTAAATTGACTTTCTTAAAGTGAACTACAACAAAGAATGGAAGTTAATGTATGGAGAATGAGTATTGCTAATACTACGTGGGAAATGAGGTAGAGGTATAATGGTGATGAAAATCAAGATGACAAGAATAAAGATGAAAATAATGAATAATTTAATGTATTTTTTTACTATTGCATTTTTTGTATTTTTATTTCATTATTTGAAATTTTTTATTTACAAATGTGTTTTATATAAGTTTATACAAATTATATAAATTAATAAAAAAATTTTACAATCCTATGAAATCTATATAAATCCATAAATAATTCAATCAAATGTATAAAAATTAATTTAAATAAACAAATAAAATTCATCAGACTCTTGTAAATTTTCTAAATCTATATAAATCCATAAACTTTTTAAAATTCGATAAAATTCTATATAATCTCAAATGAATACACGCTAAGTGTTTGGTAACTTAGTTTTTTAAATAAACTTATTAGATGTAAAAAATTAATTTTTGAAAAGTTATGTAAGCCAACTATTCACAATAATTTTTTCACTTTAATTTGTTTTATTCTTTATATGCTTTTATTAAATTATCATTTATTGTACACACATATAAAATATTTTATATTTCAATATTTATTTGTACAATATATAAATTTATCTAAACTTGAAACAAAATAAAAAAATATATATATAAATCACTCTTGTTGCGTAGTCTTTAAAGACATTAATAATTTATATACTATATAATTTTATATTTAAAAATAATAGAGAATAAATTTATTAAAAATTATAAATATAATAAAATAATATATTAATTAATAATTAATATAATAAATATATATACAAATATTTTTTTATTTTATATTTTACAATATTCTCAATATAAAAAAAAAATTATTTATATTTTACAATAAAAATAATTTTTTCTCAAATCTAAAAATAATAAAAATAAATATTTGATAACACTTTTACAATTTAAAATAATTAATAACAAAAGTTCTTAAATTTTTTAAATTCGAAACAACATAATTGAATATTTTTTAAAAAAATTATAAATTCTTAATTGTCATTTTACATATAAACTACTAATATTAAACTCTTGTGTTACCAAATATTATAATACAAACACCTAATTGAATCAGCTAATTAAACTTGCTAATTGACTTAACTTACTGTTAATAACTAATTATTGAATCAACTATCAACTAATTGACAAACGCACCCTTAATCAATCCAAAGTAAATTGCGAGTTTGATCAAGAACTCTTTTGAACTTGATCTCGTTCTAAAATTTGTAATATTAATAAATTACAATATTATATACTTATAAAATTATTCATATTATATTTTTCAATAATAATCATAATAAAAAATCACATACTCAGGCCCAAAAACACGGTCCAATTAATTCCAAAAAAATCCAAATAGACTCAAATGATGAGATATATCCAAAATTTGGTTAAAAATTTATTAACTCATGGTCGAGGAAAATTAGGGGAGTGATGAAAGTGGAAAATGAAAAGTGTTTACAATTTAGGGATATAAATTGAGAAAAAAAAAAAAGAAAAAAAGATGAGGACAACATAGATTCAATCATAGTTATGCTATTTATTCTTTTTTTAATTTTTTTCTCTTATTTTTCATCATTTTTTGTTGCATTATTTTCTATTGCTATTGTCGATTTATGTTCTTATGTTTTCTAATTTGTTGAATTAAAATTTCAGATTTATTTGGCATAAATTTTCACTCATCCATTCCAGCTTGGATTGAGTTTTTATCGTACTAGCTTAGTTCCCTATCAATTTATCGCAATAATTTCCATCCAGATCTATTACATGTTGACTTTTTATTGTGACACCAAACCTGAATCGTTTCTTGAGGAGGTCGGGGAACTTGATTAATGTTGATTTCGACTTGTCTAAATTTGTTAGGGTGTCTGATAGATTTTTTGGCACATCTGGTGGGACTCCAACAAAATTGCAAATTACTTTCACCAAAAAATTCCACTATGTCAAAAAACTAATGGATCGTTGGAAAACATTAGCGCAATCTGCTGCTAAAAGGTCTAAGTGACAAATCATCTGCAACGCCCGACGAGAAGATAGAATGGTCATGCTGGTAGCGAGTGTCCTCTAGGATCAGATTTAGGCGAAGATTCAAGCCTCACTCCAAAAAACAGTGCTGCAGCTTTCCCAATATCTTACAACCATCCTGAAGCCCACTATCCGTAATACGATCACATGGATGAAGAAAGAGGAAGCTCGTAAGGGAAAATCGACAATGATCAGCCCCGAACATCTTCAATCCAACCTTTTGTTGAGGATTCCACGAGAGGCCATGGCATATTCGTTATCCATCCCGCTCCAATATGATCATGTGATCATATTAGGCAAGAAAATCGGACCTGGAACTTTCTTGGTTAACGCCACGAAGTCAGAAGAATCCAAGCCATCCTCAGGGCAGGTCCCTTTTAGGCCGCCCCCAAGCTCCGGAGTTGTAGGGAGCTTTGGATGTGCACCATCTTTGTCAAAATGGTATACGAACCCATTGTTCAGTGGAGTAGTTTCCCACATGTCAACTATCAAATTGCATACGCAAAGGAGTGTGACAACGGCGCAAAGAACTGATGCATGGAGGACTTGGCTATCAGCAGCTCACGGGCCATTCCTCATCCCACCAACTTTGGGGATGACCTAGAGATCAGCACTACCAGCTCCATGAATGATTTGGGGGACGGCTCCGATAGCTCTAGCAGTGACTAGGGGTGCATCTCCGCCAGCACCATCTCCAGCTATGGGGCAAAGGACCAATCATGAAAGAAGTTTTCCCACAGCTTCCGGGCAATATCAAGCTTACGGATCTCCAGCCCAAGTAGATCCAATATATTTTGGAAATTTCCATACATTGCCGGCACCATTGTTAAAGGGACCCAACAAAGGGAACCGAGTGTGATTTTTGCCACAAGGATCGGTTCACCAAACTTGTCCATAGTCCGCCCCGCGCCCTCAATTAGGTTCCAAACAACCAGGGGCAATTTGAGGTAGCCCCACAACCAGGTCCTTTTGTCTACCCTTAGGCAATTGAGAAGACTGTCCGGAAGTTGTACAGTGATC